TCGGAGAAATGTTTAAACCAACTTGCTAAAGTGCTACCAGGTCTAATTGGTGGAAGTGCAGATCTTGCCAGCTCTAATAAAGCCTATCTTCATGACTGCGGAGATTTCCAAAGGCAAAATTACAAGGGAAGGAATATTAGGTATGGAGTACGAGAACATGCAATGGGTGGAATTTCAAATGGTATTGCGCTGCATGGAGGTGGTTTAATACCTTTTGCTGCAACTTTCCTTATTTTCTCCGACTACATGAAAAATTCCATCCGACTCTCAGCTCTCAGTCATGCTGCAGTTACCTACATTATGACTCATGATTCAATTGGCTTAGGAGAGGATGGACCAACACACCAACCCGTGGAGCAGCTTGCTGGCCTAAGAGCAATTCCTCGCCTATTGGTTTTTCGACCTGCTGATGGCAATGAGACTGCTGGAGCTTATAAGGTAGCTGTTGCAAACAGAGATGTGCCTAGTGTTATTGCATTATCAAGACAAAAGTTGGCAGCTAACGTGGAGGGAACATCCTCAGATGCCGTAGAAAGAGGAGGGTACATTGTAAGTGACAACTGTGGTGAGGAATTACCAGAAATCATACTAATTAGTACTGGATCAGAGCTATGTCTCTGTGAAGCAAGTGCCAATTTGCTGAGGAAGGAGGGGAGGAGAGTGAGGGTGGTTTCATTAGTGTGCTGGAGACTGTTTGATAGGCAACCACAGGAATACAAGGAGGCTGTGCTGCCATCAGGAGTTTCAAAACGTTTGAGTGTCGAGGCAGGCTCGCCATTAGGCTGGAGGGAATATGTTGGGGAAAAGGGCAGCGTGCTTGGTGTGGAAGAGTTTGGGGCTAGTGGCGCATATTTGGATGCATTCAAGAAGTATGGCTTTACAGAAGAAAATGTCACCAGAATAGCAAAGTCGCTTCTCTCCTGTTAAAACTTACAGATATTAGGATGAGTGCACCCGTTTCCGAGAAGAAAGAGATGAGGAAATCTTATTCCTTTCCTAGGTCAAATACATTCCGGCATAATCAAGCAGGCGCAATAGTTTTCTAGCTATATAATGATCTACAAATAAGCTGCTAGTGCTAGGTGGAGACTGGAGAGTTTGCTGGATACGTTTCTGTTTCTGAGAGATTAAGAGTTTGCTGGAAACGTTTTTTTCCCTGCTTAATATCTTTCTCGACTTGATGATCGTACTTCATGAAGCCTGCAATATATGTAAACTACTTGTTGAGAAGAAGCTTTCCAATGTGCAAGTAAGCAATCTACCCTGTCTGGCATAGGAAAATAATGCTCCTCAATTCAGATTTAGGTCGTTTACTCATGATCTGAACCTCAGATACTCATCTTTTCTTCTTCTTCTTCTTCTTTTTAATTTTTATTTGTCTCCTCCTAACAATTTCAGAAATGCCAACTTCAAAAAACCTGCTTATGTATCTGTCAGCCATGAGGAAACAAATTCACTGAAAATACAAGAACGTAACCTGCAATTACGCTCACCAGAAGCCGTTTTAAGTATTACCTAAGCTCATAAAAACTGCTCAAGATGTCCATCGAAATCCTTTCTTGACTAGTTCTGCATCGAAATACTTGTGACTACGAACGCACAATTATTGTTTTTGTAGCACTAGATTACTTTTTCCACAAATCAAAGCACCTCTTGTAGGAAGCGTTATATGCTCTGATTGCATTTCTCGCTGGAACTTTGATAATCAGCACATGCTTAACTCTTGGCTCTAGTAGCTATGCCTCAAAGCTGACCAATTAACAGGTGAATCATTGCCAAAAGGTAAAAGAGAAAACTGCATTGTGTTCATTAGGGGTGCTATGAATTTTGCACCTTTAAAAGATGACGAACGAATGAGAAACTGAGAATACAATCAGTTTCTTAATCAGCGCCTTCAAGAGTTGAAGAGTGGTCCATAAATTGTGCTTAGGTGTATAAATTTCTCTCTCTCTCTATTGACAAGAGAACTCGCAGCCGTTACCCGAGAATGCGTAATGGGTAATACCCTACCAACCACACGGAAAGGTAAGACACATTAGGCAAGTCCTATACAACGGCAGCAGGAGAGATTCGAATCCAGATGTTTCAGGAGAGATTTGAATCCGGATTGACAGAAAGGCATGACACCAATCGCTACCATCTCTTTTTTTGTTTTCTTGGTTTTCATTTTAGAGGATATGCTTCTTGTTGGATGGTCATTAAAAAAAAAACTCTTTGTAATTGTTAAAAAGAATAATACAACAAATAAAATCATGAGATAAAGCTAGTGACCATGGAACATAAGACAAATATTACCAAATACGAGAAGAGTTTGGACAAAAAAAGACAAGTACACGACGTGATTACCTTGGATCCTGAACCCCTTCTTCTGATAACCACTAGCACATCAAAACTGAAAAAGCCAATCAGAAGAACATTCTAATTATAGTCATTAATTGGTCCATTACATCACCAACAAATCTTTGCTATTAAAAGAATGGTAGGTAAACATTGAGAAGCTTCAAGCCTCCAAGAACCATTAAATTAAGCTTCTGTTCTAAATGATGACAAGCGTCTACCCTCAATTTTCTTCATAAAATCCTCCTAACCGTTCCAAAAAGAAATCACAAAAACTTTCTTCCACATACCATGTTAAATTAATCCTATAAATAGTGACAGGAAAGGTAATACTGCCCTTTTAAATATCCACATTCATACTAGTACCAAAGGGACTTAACTATCAAGTATCAACATAAAGGTACTAGAACAAGAAAATGGCTGTGAAGAAAGTGAGTTTGACAGCCCTTTTGGTGTGTGCTTTGGTTTTGATGCTTTGGGTCAACATGATTGGAGCATTATCGGATTGTGCTAAAGGGTGCATGCCCACCTGCATGCAGGTTGACGGTGCCTCGGAGAATGGTTGTTCCCAGGCCTGCAAGCAATATTGTGATCAAGTAAATGGAGATGGTGGGGGACACTTCTGAAGAAGATGGGAATTCAAACCACATCCTTTCTCTGTGGGAAAGGAAAATCATGTTCAGACCTTAATTTTAGGGTCGCGCTTCGTGCAACTTCTGGGATGTCTCCAAGAATTCCACAAAAAATTTAGGTTTATCTTTTTTTTTTTTTGTCCTTTTAGAATGCTTAATTAAGATGTTTGAGAATCAGCAGGGGGCCATGCTTCCTTTGTTTTGTATTCAAATGGTGTACAGCATAGAGGATCATTTTATGTTGTTCTATGATTCAATTATGCATATGAGTCCATCTATACAGAGCGACAGATCACCACATTTTTAAACGATAGACACCCTAATATCTAATTTAGACGCTTAAGTGATTTGAATATTTTAAGAAGCTCTTAATTATTTCTGTGCGGAAGCATGTCGAGGTCTAAAGTTTGTCTGATGCTGATATTGATTGAAAATAATTCAAATGGCTATTTTGCAATAATACTCGACTAATTGTAGTTTTCATCTCTTTTAGTTTAGAGTTAGGCCTACGTTCCAGTATTAAACCATCGCAAGGGGAGAAAAAACAAGAGGAAAATTACTGTCTTCCTATTGGAGATGCAATGAGACGTATCAACGAATACGAATTTAACCGCAAAAAAGAAAAAAAAAATCATGCTCCATGAAATCCAGTCTTATAATAAGTATTAACAAAACTCAAACCTTTATAGCTAGTTCTTGTTATTAACGCTTTCAAAAATTGCACTTTCTAAGCTAGAAGGAGATGGCTAACCCCTTCCATTCTCATGTTTAAAGAGCAAGGCATTTATTCACTACTTTTTTTTTTTTTATGTAAATCTCGAACTTTAAATTAGTAGAAAAAAAAAAGAATCATTTTACGCGAGCAATATTTTTCACTTGTGCAGTCTAACTACATCATTTATATTTGTACAAAAAAGGTAGATTGCAGAATTTGCCAAAACAAAACTACAAAGCTTCAAATACATTAAACAAAGCCCCATTCAGAAACCATTTTTTTTCTAATTTGTTGCCCTACGACTTGACATAAATCCATGAAACATTCAGTCGTAGAAATTGTACAAGAGTTGTTGGAGTTGTTCGAGGTAACTGTATACATTTAATTATAGAACCAGAATGAACATATGATATCTGCAGAAAGCTTTAGATGCTCAATATTATTCTTACTTAACATATCTGTTCATGCACAAAATTTCTGCCAAATCTCTTAATCTTGGAAGAAGCTTCAAGTTGACCTGCTTACAGAATGTACATTATCCTTGCGCCTCCCCAGTCTAGATTTCAATGGCTTAGTCACAAATTTTGGAGTTTATGCTTTGATCAACTTTAAGAAACTGTAAGTGGAATCATCAAGCCACACATGAATTTCAAGAATTCTTGATATTCTACTTCCATTTCATTTTTTTCTGCTCGACCAAGAACTTATGGATGGATTTCTTTTCTCAATTAATTTTTTCCCCTTCACGTTATTATGTCCGTTTATTCTTAGGCCTATTAAGACAAAACAATCGAATTGGATTTCTTTCCTCTAATCCATCAATGAAAGAAGTTTTTTAATCTATAATTTTTATGTACTCTATCATCTCCTCTCTACACCTAATTGTCAGGTGTAGAATTCAAATTCCGAATCTGACAGTAGACCACAGGCCAACCAAAGTGGTTTCTTTATTCTATAATTATCTCCTGACCACAGGCCAAAACTCGAGTGGTGTCTTTATTCTATAATTATGAGTCTAATTAATGATTATTGGCATCAAATATCAATCCAAACCTGGGGCAAATTAGTCTTTTCAACCCCCATGTTGGTTATCCACGTCAGCAAACCTGTTGGCGCTGTCTCAAAAATTGGGCGGTTAGAACACGATGCACCAAAGTCCGGAACGCCACGCCCGCTGGGGTCCAACCCCTTAATCGTACGGATAAGCAACAGTGTATTCAGTGGTGCAGTGTGCACCGCAGCACACGCTAATAAAATTACGTGCAAATATACTATCCTACGCACCTCACAGATAAAAATTCCTCAGATTTATTGCTCAAAACCTAGATAGAGATTCACAGGTACAACTCCAGCTCTATTCTTGGCAGCTCCTCCTTCACCACAAATTTGCATTTCCAGGTTCTATACTTCATAATTACCATTTTTCTTGAATTCCTGGTTTTTCATATTATATTTCAAAATTTCAATTCCTTGGCCTTTTCTTGCTATAAAAAGTTGGTGAAGTATCAATTAGGTCAAAAACCCAGGAATTATCCCTTCAATTGAGGGTTTTTCATGTATTGATTGATAATGTATTATTGGGTGCTGATTAGATATGACGTTTAATTACATTACGTAAATTGTTGTGGTCGAGCGTTGGATGCATTGAACTTAGATGTGGTTATGGTTTTGAATATTGTGGATCGAATGGGGGCTGTGGAAATACCAAAATGGCTTGAAGAGTTGCCTTTGGCACCAGAATTCCGGCCAACAGATACTGAATTTGCAGACCCAATAGCTTATATATCAAAGATTGAGAAAAAAGCAAGTGCCTTTGGTATATGTAAAGTGATTCCACCAGTGCCTAAGCCTTCAAAAAGATACGTTCTTTATAACTTGAATAAGTCACTTTCCAAGTGTCCAGAATTGGGTTCGGAGGTAAATGTCAGTTCTTCAATGAACATGAATGATGGGGCTGAAGGGAGTAATGGTTCTGAGGCTCGGGCAGTTTTTACAACTAGGCATCAGGAATTAGGTCAGAATGGGAAGAGGGTGAAGGGAGCAGCTGGGAATCAGTTGATAGGAGCTCCAAAGCAAGTATGGCAAAGTGGGGAAGTTTATACATTGGAACAGTTTGAAGCGAAGTCAAAGAATTTTGCTAAGAGTCAACTAGGGGTGGTTAAAGAGGTTTCCCCATTAGTTATAGAAGCAATGTTTTGGAAAGCTGCTTCAGAGAAGCCCATATATGTGGAGTATGCAAATGATGTGCCTGGCTCTGGATTTGGAGAACCAGAGGGATCATTTCGATATTTTAATAGGCGAAGGAGGCGGAGGCGGAAAAGGGGGACTTTCGATAGAAATAACCAAGGTAGTTCCTGTAACAATGACCATGTAACTAACTGTAGCAGTACTGTGAATTATAGTAGTGTGGATAAGGATGCACAGGCATCTAACTTGCATTCAGAGGTTTCTGGAGCATCTACATCGCTACCATCCATGTCATTGGACCAGTCTGAAAATTTTTCTGATGGAAAGTTTTCAAATGCTAGTAATGAGATGCATGGAACAGCAGGTTGGAAGCTATCAAACAGTTCTTGGAATTTGCAAGTAATTGCAAGATCTCCTGGGTCACTGACACGCTACATGCCAGATGATATACCTGGTGTTACTTCTCCAATGGTTTACATTGGAATGTTATTCAGCTGGTTTGCTTGGCATGTTGAAGATCATGAACTTCATAGCTTAAATTTCCTTCATACGGGCTCCCCAAAGACATGGTATTCAGTTCCAGGAGATTATGCATTTGATTTTGAAGAGGTCGTTCGCCTTCAAGCTTATGGGGGAAATACTGACCCTTTAGGTATGTTTGTGCTTTCAGTTTCAGATTTATATGAAGGAAAAGTGCCAAAATTGATATTCTTTCAGTTTTATCAAATGTTTTTTGGTGCTCAGAGAAATTTGTACGAAAATGTAAATAACCACAGCTCTGGAGTGCACTTTGCATTGCTGGTAAAATATCCAGCTAAAATAGTTGCATTTTCTATGCTGTTTTTTCTCCATGAAGATGGAAGAATCACTGTCTGAAGTGCACTTACTCTATCTTGTTCTATTTGTGGACGTCTCTTGAAATATGCTTTAGCTGTCAGCCTATTTCTGGGATGAAAAATTGGAGCTGAGATAAAAATTGCATCATCTCCTTAGTTTTTTTTTTTTTTTGAGTGATCATTCTGAGTTCAAAGAGAGAAGTTTGATTTCATGATTGGAGGTTAGAGAATGTTTTAGCAAAAGCTTGGTTTTGTCAACTGCATTGGTCATGGAGTTTCTTTTGCTTCAACTGGCACCATAAAGTCTTACATTGATTCTTTAAGATTTCCTGCTTTTGTGTATTTTCCCTGTTTAAGTTCAGTTGTTTGTAAATTTTTAGATGCACTGACTCTCCTGGGTGAGAAGACTACTCTTTTTTCACCAGAAGTTATTGTTGCAGCAGGCATCCCATGTTGTAGGTGGGTTGTTTTCTCTAGAACCATATTCAGTTTCATTTAATCTCTTTATTCCTATAAACTCTTGCATAATGAGGCTTGACAGGAACTCATACTGATTTATTGGAGTTCTGAGCTACAAGTATGATAGTGGATGATTCCAGCCACTAATAGCTAATTACTGGTCTTGTCATCTTTGCTAGGCTAGTTCAGAATCCTGGTGAGTTTGTTGTGACTTTCCCAAGGGCTTACCATGTAGGATTCAGCCACGGTAAATTTCTCTCCTTATAAGAGTATTCCTGTTCAAATTATGTATAATGTTTCTTTAGTTTATTGTTTTACTATGCATTACCAATTTTCCACCTTTGACAACTTAGACCAAATGTTATTCAAGCTGGAGTTCTGGGCTCTTATGCATAGTGATTTAACTGCTTGCAAACTTCCATGAGATTTACTTTTATAATCATCTGTAGACTACAATATGTTACCTTTGTCAGAAAATTGTTTTTCTAGTAGCAAGTGTACGTTAAACCTTGACATGGTCGGGGAGAGCTGCAATTTTTGCTTCTACCATATTCACACTTGTTGGCCATACTATTTTTCAGTCACCAGATCTTTGGTTGCAATGTCTGTTGCAAGTGTCTTAGATATATGTGAAACAGATATTATTGTTTTCTTTTCAATTTTCCATTTCTTTTTTTTTTTCCCAGATGTAATCAGGAAGTGGTTTAGGACATTGTAGAATAATATATCCAATGGGGTTATGGACAGTGGTACTATTAGTTGTGTCAATCAATTAGCACCTAATGTTCACAGTTTGAATATTTTGAATATTTCACATGCAAAGATTGTTAGAGATTGTGGCATGAAAAATTGTGGTATAATCAGGGGTTGCAAGATGGTACACAGTGTTTTAACCATTAATCTTTTCAAATATTGTTCTGTCACTATTTGTAAATTCCATAAAAATCCTTGCTGTTCTATATATTTATGGTGGCCTTTTATTCATTATTATGACAGTGTATGTTCATTTCTGGTTATAGGTTTTAATTGTGGAGAAGCTGCAAACTTCAGTACTCCTAAGTGGCTTACAATAGCCAAAGAAGCCGCTGTTCGCAGAGCCGCGATGAATTACTTGCCCATGCTTTCTCATCAGCAGCTGCTATACCTGTTGACAATGTCTTTTGTATCAAGGTCAGATTTTGTCCTCTTATTTAAAATGTCCACATAACTTTCTTAATCTACTTGTAAGTTGTTCATCTTATTCAGTTTTATGGGCATTTCCAGCTTTCAGCCTTGCTTGAGGCTTGGTTGTTCAAATATTTCAACTTCCACATTTTCATTTACTTCTGTGCATTATAGGTTCTTTTTCTTATTGCCGACAGGGATACCATATGAATTGGTTAGCGACCTGTAATCATAAGTTTGACGTAGTGGATCTATTTTGAATGACAGAGTGCCAAGATCCCTACTACCAGGAGCACGAAGCTCTCGTCTCAAAGATCGTCAGAAGGAAGAACGCGAGCTCTCGGTAAAGAAAGCATTCATAGAAGATATTTTAAAGGAAAACCATCTGCTAACTATTCTTCTTCAGAAAAATTCATCTTATCGTGTGGTACTATGGGATGTGGATTTGCTGCCAGCTTCAAGTAAGGACTCTGAATTGTGCAGTACTGTTGTAACTGATGGGACACAAAGAAGAGAAGACAGTCATCCTGACAACTGCAGTAACCAAGATCTTTACACGCAGATGAGCTTGTATATGGACACTATTACTGATTTTTATGTAGATGATGCTGATGACATACAAAATGATTATCAAGTTGATTCTGGAACTTTACCCTGTGTTGCCTGTGGTATTCTTGGTTTTCCTTTTATGGCTGTGGTACAACCATCCGAGCAAGCATCGAGAGACCTGCTGCCTGAGGATCAGGCTATGACTCAACAATTAGGAGTTTGTCAACCAGCGGGTTGTAAATCCTTGGATCTTGATTTTAGGGCTGAAAGCTGTATTCCAGGTATAAGGCTCACAAGACAACCTTATATGTGATTTTTTACATGTATGCTTCTTTGTCAAACCATGAAATTCATTTTTGTCTTATGTTTTTTCTCTTACTTTTGGAGTCATTCTTTCAGTGTCATATGGTAGTAGGTGGTTTACAGAGTAGGTTGGTAAGTTGCGATACTAAGTGAAATACTTGCCTTTATTGTCTATTGCATGTTCTGAGTATAATATGGAGTGTTTTGAATTCTCCATTCCTTTTCACCTTGATCTGATTGTGCAGCTCTTTTGCATGGTCTTATTATGACATTACCATTACAAGCACTTTGTAACAAGTTAAGTTATTTGGTATGTGGCTTACTATCATGAAGCTGCCTACGTAAGTTCTCCCAGTGAATTCCAGTGTCTTTTCACATGTGGAGAACTTCTTTTAGGATTTTCATCATGGCCTGCACTTTGGTTGACTTTAGATCTTTCTGTCTTATTATTAGTTATCACGGAACATTCTGCAAAGTACATTATATTATATTATATGCTGCAAAGTACAAATTTTAAGTCCATATTTTGAGTTATACGTCCTGAATAGCTGGTTTGCTGCTACTTTCTGTTTGTAATGGCTGATTTGTGTATATGCTTTGTATTTACCTCTCAGTTTGATGTATTAATGGGAATATATCATACTGGACAGCTTCTTGTTCAGATTTAAATCTATCAGTTTACTTCTATGCTGGTGCATTAAATTTTATCTTGCTAAGATACTGTAGATACATGAACCAAGGTGCCGAACCTTGGAACAGTCGATGCATTAGAATTGAACAACATGAAAGGTCATTAATGCTGACAGTGGGTCTTAAAATGCAACAGAGACAAGAAAGCCAGTTAAGAAGAATATTAACCATCCAGATGAAGCATCTCCTTTTGCTGAATCAAGCCCATCCACTTGTTCTCATATGGAGGAGGATGCCCTGTCTGTAGACATTAATACTTCATCATTTCCAGTGCACGTAACGGCTTCTTCAGCAGTCAAGTTTGACGGGGGGTGGAACCTTTCAACTGGCTATTTCAGACCTCAATTGTTCTGCCTGGAGCACGCAATTGAAACCGTGGAGCTATTGCGCCCCAAAGGTGGTGCAAATGTGCTTGGAATATGCCATTCAGGTAACAATAGATTGATGAATTTCAGTTCATTATTAGATAAAAATGCATGAAGTGGATCGCTCCTGTCTTTTCAACCATGCTAAATTTATGTTGTCACCCTAATGAAAGATTTTGCTCTTCTCCCTTCTCCACTTGACGAAGAAATGACTGGATTGTACTTCATTATCCTTCTTTTGCATGTGAATGTCGCTTATGAATTGGATAAAGTGGTCCTCGGTTTTCAATATTTGTAGACTTCCAGAAAATAAAAGCACACAGTGCAGTTGTAGCGGAGGAAATTAGCATCCCTTTTAACTACAACGAGATTCCATTAGGAAATGCATCCCAGGAAGACCTGTACCTGATTGATCATGCAATTGAAAATCAAGAAAAAGATGAAGGTGCACAAGATTGGACCTCAAAATTGAATCTCAACTTACGCCACTGTGTAAAGATGAGAAAGAACTTCCCATCCCAGAAAGTGAAGCATGCATTGGCTTTAGGTGGGTTGTTTTCTGATGGAGTTCTTCACTTAAAGGCTTTGAAGTGGCAATCCAGGAAATCACGTTCAAAAAGGAATGCAGATCCTACAAACTTTAGCAAGCCATCTGTGAGCATCCAGACTGAGAAAGTTGAAGAACCGGTAGAAAAGTCGGGAAGCAGAATGAGTAGGAAACTAGGTCAAGTAATGATCCAATATTATAGGAAAAGACACAAGTCGAAGCCTCGTGGTTCTGAGGGAGCCATTAAGGCCTTGGTGGTTTCTGAGAAACATCCTTCTGATGAAATTTCAGGTGCTGACAGTGGAAATTGCAAGGAAAAGGAGAGAGACATGTCTATGAATACTCATGTTAGAGTTGAAGGTGCAGGGAAGGGCGCTTCAGGGCCAACTTGTTTGGCCTACAGTAGGAAGTCTAAGTTGCGGAATGAAGGTCAAAAAGTTGTATCAGGTGGAGGTCTGAACGAAAATCTTTCTCCATTGAAACTTGTAGATTCTTCTATTGCTACTAACCCAGTGGCTGGGAATATAAATGTTCATACTGGAAGTGGTATGTCAGACGAACTTGTCGAGCTGAATAAAAACTACGATTTACTTTTGAAGGACTCCCACAAATTGTCCATGATCAATGTTGCCGAGGAAACTGACGAAAACCATGACTCAGTAAATTCTGAAAATTCTGCAGGTTCACTTGGCATTTCTGTTTATGATACTGAAAGTTCTGAAGTGATGAGGGAGGATGAAATTGTCTGTCGAATCAACATGGCAAAGATGACATGTGATGTCGTAACAACAAATGAATCTGAAAGGAAGTATCACAGAAATGCTGATGGGGATGTTCTCATGAAAGAGGCCTCTGAACCTGCCCCGTCATGTCCTCATGCTGATGAATCTTCTGGGGAAAGGTGCAATCAACAAGTTGAGACAACAGTTCTAGATAAATGTCAAATGAGCAGTGGCGAAATGGAGAAAGAAATCTCCTCAATGAAGGGAGCTGATCGGGAAAGAGCTGTTTCAAGTGATGTTCTGACATCGAATACATCTAACCCTTCCTTGACGGAAGAACTTGAAGCACCTCGAGAGATGCCTGCTGATGATCAACAGCAACGTGACAATCAGAGTTGCACCTTATTTGAGAACAAGGAGGTGGATGATGCAATTTCTACCCTAGAACAATTCCAACATACTGAAAAAATGAGAAGCAAAAGAAAAAGAGAAGTGGATATCCAAAATGAAGATCAACCAAATTTTGGCAGCTTCAGTAGAAGTCCTTGTGAAGGTCTAAGGCCAAGGACCAAAAGAGATGCTGCAGGAGACACGACTGGTGCCGAAAAGCCCTTTGAGGATTTAAGCAAAGGAAGGAAGGTGAACAAGCATTTAAATGGTTCGGATCTGCACAAGCACAAGAGAGAGCAAAAGAGATGCTCTCACAAGTGCAGCATAGAAGGCTGCCGAATGAGCTTCCAGACCAAGGCAGAGCTAGTCCTACACATGCGTGATCGCTGTCCAGTACAAGGGTGTGGGAAAAGGTTCAGCTCCCACAAATATGCAACATCTCACCAGCGGGTTCATGATGATGATAGGCCACTAAAATGTCCGTGGAAGGGGTGCAGAATGACATTTAAGTGGGCTTGGGCAAGGACTGAACACATACGAGTCCACACCGGGGAGAGACCATACAAGTGCAAGGTTGATGGGTGTGGCCTTAGTTTCAGGTTTGTATCAGACTTCAGTCGGCATAGACGGAAAACTGGCCATTATGTCAACTAACCAAATAGGTTAGTTTTTGTAACATATCAGATCGGGGTTGGTGGATTCTTGGGGTCAAAAAATAGACCTCAAGAAGCATGTAAAACGGGAATGCTCTGGTCATTCGGCTTTTTGGAGTAGGGTGGGGTAGACTCTTTGAAATGTACATTGCTTTAGCTTAGAATGATTGCTCTGGTAGTGATATTCGTCTCGTCTCAAAAAAAGAAGCATAGATTTGATATTTCATGGATAGTGGATGCATGTTCTTGCTTATTTTATTTCATGACACCTGTCTTTTGTTTTGTGCACTGGTTTTAGTCGCACAAGGAAACTGTAAGGCTCCAAATTAAAGTAGGCTCGTCTCGACTAATCATTAATGATCGATCATTTTTTTGGATGCTTTAGTGAATGTCCAGAATGTTTCTGCTTAGTCAAGTTCTTCCTTGGCCAACTAAACGGTCCCTGTTGTCTTCCAGTAAAAGCTGCTGAGTGGGGACTTTTACTTCCATGCCAGTGATGTTGGGAAATCCACGGCAACATACCAATCATGGTTCGCCGGCCGAATCATAACTGGAACGGAAGGGATCGGTACGGTACCGATCTTCGAATTGCGGATATGATAATATCATATCCGCGATGACTCGTTCTGACTCGGTCGATATTGACTGATTCGAATCCGTGATGCATGATATCGGCAGATATATTCGAGTCAACTCGGAGTCGACTCCGATATTTTTTTAAATTATGTCTTTTTTAGTATTTTTTAATTTTAGTAATTTTTTCAAAAATTTTGGAAACTTTAATGTGTTATAATGTTTGTATCACATGATATTCAATCGATATGTCGTGACGGACATGAAACAATCGAGACCGCGACCCACGGTGAACCATGATACCAACCCACCCGTCATCCCAACTGACAAGGGATAAGCGCATATTTTTAACACCAACTTTGTACCTCGTAGGAGGTGTTCCGAGCAACCGCTAGTGTCTCAGGATTTGATCTTAGCAGCTTATAAACACTATAGCCACGTGTGATCTCCCGATTTGGGAGCGAGAATTGATTGGAAAAACAGATGAACCATGAGAGGAAGGCTTGTCCTTGCTGGCCGACAGAAAATTATATAATTGAGTGTAGAACGATAAATTGCTGCATGGATACTGCATAATGTCCAAAGTTGTGCTTATATGTCTGAGGAAGAAGAATCCCAATCATGTTCGCAGCTTCTTTAAACTCTCTAGTCTCTTACATGTTAGGCTGGTGTTATTCAAAAAACCAATTAAATCCGATTTCTTGATTAATCTTAGGATGACGATGGAGATGGGTACCAATCCCATGGAGAGTTATAAAAATCTTAGAAATGACAATGGAGATGGGTACCTATCCCACGGAGAGGATGAAAAACTTTTCTTTTCCACTTTAAATGGGGCAAGACAGGATGGATGCTCTCGTCCTACCTCGCGCTGTCTCCCATTTAAATTAATTAATTTAAATAAATAATATATACAAACACACGAGCATAATCTAATAATAGGAGTAATGAGCGTAGAATATTGATTAATTGAATTATGTTTTTTTTTTTTATACTTTGAATATAAAATGTTTGAAGAAAATAAGAAACCTAAGCTACCAAACCCTTACACTATTTTCCTCTTTTATTTTTTTTTTCTTTTTCCTTGCACAAATTAAGGAAAATGAAATATAAGAAATGAAAATAGTGGCATGTAAGTTTCAAAGTTGGGTCTATTCTATATGCCTCGAAAGAATATTAGCGGATACCAAATTACTGTTTTTAACTTCTACAGAAACTCTTTAAACTCCAAAACCACTTCACTGTACAACGCCAGTAAGGATTAGATATTAAACGCAACTTCTCTGCAAAATGTGATAGGCGACATCAGACACTAAGACCAGGAAAAAAAAAAAAAAACTATGGAATATGGATTCCAGAGTTACTGGCTTCTTCAAGAATCAGCGAACATTTTAGTTAACAAAAAGAATAAAGAAGCAAAGAAGATGAAGAAGCCAATTTGCTTTTTGGCATCGGACCAAAGCAGGAATATTCCCTTTCCCTCCTTCTTTTCAACGAAATGCAACTACTAAACGTCAACAAATCTGCAACTTTGACGTCTCTATTCTCGTCCGCAAGTCTTACGCAACAGACCAACATTTTTCTGCACATTTTAACCAAACCACTACGAAGAACCAATTCCTGATCCACAAAATGCAACCATCAATTTCTTTCTTTGTTTTTTGAACTTTTGCTTAGATTTTGAGGAAAGTAACCAAACCATTATTGAGTTTTGAAATTCTGAAACTAATGATGTAGCACAAGAAATCCAGTCGTTGTCTCCACTTTGTGGGGATTATTAGTAAAGGTTGGGATTACTTTTTAATCTTCCAAGCTCAAAGGCCTAAACACTGGATTGATTATGTGCTAACCCACTGCGTGTTAAACGACTAAATATAGACCAGACAATGACGACTTTGACATGCGTCGCTGTTAGTTAGTGTGTGGCAATTCTTTCCAAGAACTACTGAATATAGACGAGACAACAATAATAGAATATGACTTTGAGGTGATTTAATTTACTTTGCTTAAAACAAAATACATCTTGGTTTGATTTAAAAGGGTTCAACGTTCCAAAACTTCATACTCACCTGTCAAAACAGTCCATTCAATGCTGCTGCCAAATGCTAATGAAGTACGTAGTAGTAAAGTTCAGATGTGGCTGCTCTCAAAACTTGAATCATATCTCTTCGAAATTGTCCCGAAGGTCACTCTGGCTGCTGCAACGAAGTTTGAATGCAACAGATTAGTCCTACTTGTTTTCTTCATTCCGAGCTTGAAATTGGAAGCAAGTTGATTTGGTTGTATTATTACCATTATTGTATAAAATACTCCAATCCAATCATGCAAAAACTTTGGAAGGGGATTATTAGGTAATTGTTTAAAGTCTAAAGGGCAACTTCCCAACCACGCTTCTTTAATCTGATTTATTTTACCACCACTTCCAAACAAACAAAAAGCCAAAAAAAAAAAGCATGGCAGCAGCAGCTCCGCAGCCGCCACCGCCGCCATTCCTGGCCACAATACCCGAAAATACGGTCCCTGAAACCGCCCCATTCCGGCACCCATTGTATGCCCGCATCCGTTTAGCCACCATTTTAGACGTCCCCCACATCCATAAGCTCATCCACCAGCTCGCAACCTTCGAACGCCTCGCCCACCAGTGCACCGCCACCGAAGCCTCTCTCGCCGCCACTCTCTTCCCTTCCCCGAACCCACCTCTGCCCTTCACTTCCTTCAACGTTTTCATCCTCGAAGTCTCCCCTGACCCCTTCCCACCACCTGCTCCTCAGGAGGACACGACTAACTCTTCCCCGTTGCTCAAAACTTTGCATCTGGACCTCGCGAGTGAAGACTCGGAGAAGGAAATTTTCCGGTCCGAAATCGGAGGCGACGTCGTCGTGGCAGGATTCGTGCTGTTCTTCCCAAAGTACTCGACGTATCTGGCGAAACCCGGGTTTCGCATAGAGGATTTGTTCGTGAGGGAGCCTTATAGGAAGCATGGATTCGGGAAAATGCTGATAACGGCGGTGGCGGGGCAGGCGGTGAAGATGGGTTACGGGATGGTTGAATGGGTGGTGCTGGATTGGAATGTGAATGCTATTCAATTTTACGAGCGAATCGGCACAAAAGTTTATCAGGACAAGAGGATTTGTAGGTTGACTGGAGAGGACCTTGACGTCGAGGGGTCTGCCAAATGAGTCCATTTCATTTTGTTTCTAACCAGGAGTCATATGGGATGGCATTGGCAGCATGAAGCTCCGTCGTCTCCTATGAAACAATAATGTATGTCGTTAGTTACTTTCATCGAGGATTTTGATATCCTGTTACAGTGAAGAAGAAGAAGCCAATTTGCCTTGTACAAGATCAAATTAGGCCATCTCAGCAGCCTGAGGGGGGGAGATCTTTCTTCTGATCACCCCTAACCATAATTATTATTAGTAGGAAGAAGAGTCAAAAAAACAAAGGCTTCTTTTTGGTAATTCTAGAGAAGCTTGGCCATAAACCGCTATTTATGTAATCTCTTCAAAGACGCTATCGAATTGCCTTGATGTTTTTGTTCCTTCCTATTTAATCATCCATTGCTTAATTAATGGTATTTCTGGATTGCCAACACTAATCATCATGTTTCGGAGACGAACAAAAGAGAGCTCACATCGATAAAAGAGAGGAGCACTATTTACAAGCTTTTGAGGTTAAAGCCTTAAAGGAGAGAGAAATGCAGCAACTGAGAGCTTTTGGGGTGCTGCAAATTATTAGGGGTGGCAAAACGGATTGGCGGGTCGAGTTGAGAGTCGGATATAACAGAAAATCTGTTGATCCGAACCCGAAAATTTCGGGTTGGCGGGTCAACCCGAAATGACCCGAAACTTAATTTTAATTTATTAATTTACCATTGTAATTTCTAATATAATCAATTTTGTGCAAGACTAATTACATAATCAAGTAATAAAAATTTAATTAAATAATCCCAAACCAAATCTAAAATAAATTAAAACACCATAAAAGTATTTTATCCCAAATCAAATATAAAATAAATTAAAACAGTATAAAAGTAAAAAATAATATAATACATTATTTATCCAAATATAATAATTTCAACTTCACACAAGTTAAATAAATTCATTTAAGATTAAGTGATTAATGCCTTTGGAAAAAAAGAATAACTTAGTTTAGTTAGAAAAAATAATTTTTCTGTTAATTAAATTATTTTTAATTCGTAAACGGGTTATCGGGTCATATCAGGTCACCAACGGGTTGACCCAAAATTTGATCCGTTTTTTTTCGGGTCCATCGGGTTCGACCAAATTTTGACCCGAACTCGCAAAATCTCAACCCAAATCCATTAATTTCGTGTTAGATTCGTGTCGTATTTTCGAATCGTGTCGAAAATTGCCACCCCTAGCTGCAACGCTGCTTGCGCTTGGTACAATTGTCAATCAGCACTATGAAATTCAAGAATCTTAACGCCGACGGCAATAATAATAATATTACTATATTAGAGAGGAGACAGCAAATCACATCAGAAAAATTAAAAGAATCCTCGTACAAAGCTTTCTCGTCTTTCTAAAGACAGATCAGACATCTCCCGACTCTTCTAGTTCCATCTCCCAATTATCGCATACTACTATAAAGATTGTTATTAATTCCTTCCTACACAGTACACAGCACACCCATCCATCTTCTTTATTCCATGGAAATTGATGTTTTATCCTGGCAGGGCTTCCCCCATCTTTTAATCCAGCTGCACCTTTCTTCATACAAAATGCTTGCTTGCTGACTAACTAGTATGTATCGTATAGGTATATTTTTTTGTTTTACCAGACATGGGC